AAATAAAAAAGGAGTTGTTACAATAACAGACTTAGATATAGATGTTTTAAAAGAAATGCTTAAATTTATTTACACAGGAAAAGTTACTCAATTAGAAACAATGGCAGACACACTATTAGCTGCAGCTGATAAGGTTTGAGAAAGCCTTATCAACGGTTTAATAATGAGAAATTAGATAAAGAAATTTAATTTGTTGAAATAATTTTTTACCGTTTAACTTTAATTTTTAATTTTAGTATGCATTAGAGAGGCTAAAAGTTATGTGTGAAGAAGCTCTAGCATCAAATCTGAGTGTTGAAAATGTGTGTGATGTTCTTATTTTGGCTGATCTCCATAATGCACAGCAACTCAAGTCCGTCGCTATAGATTTTACAAATAGGTTTACAGTTTTATTTATGATTTTTATAATTGACACATATCTTAGTTATATTGATTTTTCCAGTGTCAAATATTTGATAAACATTTATTTAATTTCTAAAAACAACAAAAAAGTTTTAAAATCAAAAAAATAATTAGCAGGTCATATTTTTCAGTTTAACAATAATAGCTTCATTAACATTGTTTTAAATACTTTTAATGTTATGTTTGAAGTTTTTTGAATATAACATTGAGGATGTCCCTAAAAACAACATCTTTGAAAAATATCACCTACTTAATGTGTTCTGAAAAAAATGCTGGATTTAAAATTGCATTTTTTCAAACTTTTTTGTCAATATTTTTTCTTTTATAAGTTTTTTGTAATACAATTTTTGGAATTTTCATATAATTTTGCTTCATTTGAGACCCAGCATGATTTACTTTTGAAAACCTTTTTTTGATAGTATTAGGAAATTGTTTAATGTTCAAAAGGGACTTATTAAAAAATATTTTGTATTCGAAAAAAAAATTTTAATTCAGTATTTTTTTTATATAGAATACATTTAGCAGAAATTTTTTTAAAATGTTGTTTTTGAGTCTCTCTATTAACATTAAAGAACTTTAATACAAAAGTTATTTTGAATGCAACCTCTAAGAACTTTGAATCTTTAATAAAGATCAATATTTGTTGAAGAGATTTTTATAATTTTGTAAATAAAGAACCAAATAAACAGTTGACAAAAAGATAAAAATTTTCTTAGAATTTGTTAAAATTGTTCAAAAATTGTTCTTTTTTTACTATGTCAAATATCCCCACACAGTTTTTTACTTTTGGCATTATTAAAATCCTTGAAAATTTTCCGCGCCTTAAAATAATTTTTCTTTAAATTTCCATTATATCATTTTCTTTAAATTTCCTTTTTTAATGTCATTTAATCTTTTTGTTAGGATGTTTTGAATAATGATTTATATACTTGTTTAGGAAATGTAAAAATTTTAAAGTATGTATTTGTGTTTTAGTCATGCACAGGAAGTTATGGAGTTAGCATCATGGCAAAGACTGGTTAAAAATCATTCGAATATCGTTGCAGAAGCATTTCGAGCTCTTGCTAGTGTTCAAAGTTTTTCATGTTCTCCACCAAGAAAACGTCAAAAAACTGCTCGCGTTGAACCATGTGTTTAGCATTTTTTATGCATATGCATGCAATGCTTTGCATTTACCGTTTTTTACCATTGTAAATAATATTTTACCCTGTCAATATCATATTCCCATTTTCAGTTTTCTTTTTTTTTTTCCTAGACAAAACTAAAACAGTTACTGTTTTATATGACAAATTTATTTTGAACAGCATAAATAATATACAAATTATTTTTGTTAGATAAATAAATCTTTTAAGTATATTTATAGTCGCCATGAAAATATATGTAAATAAAATATATGGTTCCTATAAATAATGGTATTAATTTTTTTAAAGTCAATAAAAAAATATTATTTGGTTTAGTTAAATCAAATGATGATTCATGAAGTTATTGACATTATTTAAAGCAGATGCAATATTTGTGTGTATTTTGCTACCTTGCTAATCCAGCTATTCTACTGGTTATCCTGAAAGATGTTACAATTGAACCCGTCATTTGGAAAAAGGCACAAGTCAATTCAAACTTTTCAGGACCAACTAAAATAAGTTTTTTCAGAAAAAAAGTTTTTTTGGTGCTAAAGAAACTAAATATAGGAGTAGATAAAAAAAAATCATACATAAGTTTTTAGAGTTTTATTTATTATAAAAAAACAACATATAATACATATATTTTTAATTTAAATTTATGGGCTTATGTCTTTTTCAAAATGAACACTTTTTTGTACCCATCCTTTGTAATAACTGAAAATCATGACTGATTAAGCAACCTATGAACTCATGTGTTGTCACTAAATCTAGCGTGATCTTAGAGAGTGTGAAATATGATACTTTAGAAATACCAAAAGTTACTTTTTTGTCCTTGGGTGCTCCTTTTCCATAGGAATCCATAGATAGCACAAGTTTCTTATAATGATTTGGCCACCATTTTTTTACATCAATAATATCTTCAGTTTTGGGCCAAAAAATATAGTTAATCATAAAACAAAGAAAATTGAGCAAGTTTGCTTCAGCTATAAGATATTCATACTCTGTTGGTGTGTAAATCCGGTCATTTTTTCGAATATGTCGCTTTGCTGTTCCAAACATTCTATCGTTTGACAAGAATGAGTGACCTCATTTTGGCATCTAATATGGTATCTCATTTATATTGCTATCTAGTTCAGCTACCAGTGATAAAAGTATTTGGATCATGGCATGATTTCTATTTTGGCCTGCACAACCATCAGAAAATAGATGCAGTTCTTTGGTTTTTTGCACTTAGTTTCCACTTCCTATATTTTTGGGACAATATGTTTGCTTGTCTTTTATCTGCTTGATAGACTCTTTTTGTAATTTTAAAAATTTTCCATTTTTGTAACAAATAAAGTGAGATTATATCACTTCAGTTGCGCTTCGTTTCACTTGTAAAAGGCATAAGTCCGGGACTTGCGCCATTTTCAAACAGACTTTAATTCTCAGTTGCATTTAAAGTTGACTTGTAGCATATGCAAATGTTTTTCCTTCAAAGGAAATATGTAAAACACTTGAATAAATATAATTCCATTAAAAAGTGAAATTCGAAAAAAGTGTAACTTGTGCTCTTTTTGAAATGATGGGTTCAATTCTAAAAGCTATTTTATTGTATTTGGAATTTGTAGATATTTATTTATGTATTATACTGTTACTAGACAGTGAGCTTATATTTGTATACTATAATGGGGCATCTTTTTTTAATTATTATTGATTAATTAACTTCTGTAAAAAAATAAATGAGTTTAAACTATTTGAACATAATTTTCAAAAAATCTTCTTTAAAGAAATTTATTTATATTATGATATAAAAAATATTTTAGTAATGAAATAAAGAAGTTTTTTTTTAATTGTTTTTTTCTTCTTAAATTTATCAAGCAAGACAAAAATCAAAATTTTAAAAGTTTAAAAAGATTTGTTTGAGACTATGAGACTTTTTTTTGTTGAGTGTTCTTGGTCACTTATTTTTTGTCAATGATTTGCAACAGTTAGCATGTAAAAAAAAAAAAAATTGTATACATACGGCATGCTGTCTGGAGTCCTAATCAGAGTCATCCCATATCTAGGCATTATAAATTTTTGTTGAAAATGCATTTTAAAAAAAAAAAAGGAGGGGGGGCAAACTAATTAAAATGTTTCATTTTGTAGGAATATCCACTGAAATTTTTGAACCTCAATAAAGCAGTTATTTTACTATTAACTACATATTTTAATTGTTATTTGTGATTATTATTTGTTTTATTTGTTATATCATTTTTATATTAAAATATGTATCAAATACTTTATTGATAAGTTTATTAATTACAATAAATATTTATTAATTACAGTATTAGTAAGTTTATTAATTACAACAAATATTTATTAATTGCAATAAAAGTTTATTAATTACAATAAATATCAATATTCAAATAATAAATAGTTTATATGAAACTAATAATAACAAGCTTCATTTAAATGAAAAAACATATTTAGAAAACTGGTTTAAAAACTTAGAAGATTTTAAAATCAAAAGTTAATGACGATGCTAATGCCAAGGTTCTTAAGGCCTTTGATCTTAAGACAAGGCAAAGCATCTGCAACACTGATACTATTTGTAAGTATGTAGCCAGGTTTGACGATACTATCATGCAAATTACTTGATTTTGTTCAAGTAGATATCATTTGTACAATTACCTATATTTTTAGTACTATTTTTTATTTCTTTGTTCAGTCTAATAAAAGCAATGATTAAATCAGATCCATGTAGTTTATCAAACATTGATTCTTTTCAAGTCACTCACCTTGACTGGAGTATTCAAGTTGATTTTGAATTACAGAAGTTATCATGTCTTGCTGTTCAAAGGTTCATTTGTCTCAAAGATGAATGCACTAAACTAGTAAGAGTTTTTCAATGAAAAAATTATATATTTTATGTTCAATTTTGTTTTGATGTATAAAGTATTTTTTTTATCTTTAATTTAAGTTTTCTTTGGGTTTGATTAATGATATGATTCTTTTTTTTTTCATCATAAATAAAACTGGCTTCGAAAAATGTTTTTTTCTTTTATCATAGCTTTTTTGTCTTTTTTTTTTGAAGAAGTCAAAGAACTTTAGATTCTTAAAAAAAATTTATTATTAAAAGTAGTAGAAAATAAAAAGTATTTTAAAAACTATTAAGTGACCGGATTTGATATTTGACCAGGGCCGGGTTTAATAAAATATAGCTGGGGTCAGGTTTGTGACCGGGGCTGCATAAACATTTATACATCCTTAAGTATTTTTTTTAAATTCAAAATTCATGTTATATTTTGTATATATATGCATATTTAAATATCATTATGATCAACATGATCATCATAATCATCATTATTATTGTGATCATCATCATCATGATTATCATCATCAACACCATAAAAGAGGAAGGTTAAAACCTGATGATTGTGATCATGATTATCATCATCATCATCATAATGATGATGATGATGATCATTATCGTCACCATCATCATCATTATCATCATCATCATCATCATCATCATCATCATCATCATCATCATTATCATCACCATCATCATCATTATCATGCAAGCATCTAAATAAATAGCAAACATAAATGTTTATATTCATTGTATGCATAAAGTGCATCTGTTTAAGTGGAAGCTTTTATTCCTTCTCTTTAATTTTAAATCAAGCCTCATTCTACTCGGGGCCGGGACCTTGGTCACTTACTATTAAAAGCTATAGAAGAAGACATCATAAGCAAGACACTTAGATTCACTTTTAATAGCTGTAGAAAAAGACATAAAGTACGAGACACTAAGAGTCACTTATGCAAAAATACAACAACAACAAAAAAGACTGTATTAAGACCGAAGATATCCAAAAAGTTTAATCAGTGCTGCAAAACAAACCAATAGAGCATTAGTTAACCTTAGTGTTTAAAGAATTTTAACCTCTAGGTAGTAAAACTTAAAAGTTGTGGTCGTTTATGTAAAAATAGATAAGATGATAAAAACGTATTGTTGAATATAAACATTTAAATTTATTGTTTATGGCTCAGCAAATGAAGGGTGTAACAACTGTACAATTACACAAATATAACTAATAAAATAGGCAAGTTCTATATAATAATGTACTTGGAATAAACCCAGTAGCTATCTTTTATTTTATTTAGTAATTTCTATGAAAAATAATTTTTTATTTTAATTTTTTATTTTCCATATAAAGCAAAAAACAATGATTTATACTAAAAACAATTTGTCAATATTTTTTAATATATTTTTTATTACCAATATTTGTTTTGAAACTTATTTTTAGAACTTCCTATCACTAATAAAAATTTTTAAGTTTTGGTGTTTTAAAGATATGCCAAAATATTCCAAATAAATTTTTTTTTTTTAATTACTTTACAAATTTAGTTATCAATAATTATTTTATCAAAATAATAATAGAATATTATAATAATGTAATATTATATCAAAATAATATTTATATAGGTTACCAACTTTATTAAGTCCTCAATGCATGTCATTTAAAATAGGAAAAAAGTTGAAAAATATTTAAAAATGTGACAAAAATAGTTAAAAAAATAAAAATAGAAATATTTAGCTAAGTTCAAATGTATTGATTTTTCGATGTTGAGAAATCAAATTTGAAGTGGTCAAAATTTGTCAAATTCAATTCTAATATTTTTACTTTTTTTTTTTAAATTATGTCAATATCACTTTAAAAAACAAATTTGTTTAGCCAAAAATGTTATCTCAAATTTTAACAAATTAATTTAGATAAAAATATTTTTGCTTTTGAAAAATATCATTAAATAGTTTTTTTAAAAAGTTGAATGTGATTGAATAAACTTAAAGTTATGATAATTACAGTGTATTTCATTAAAAATGATGTTATTACAAAGCAGGGGTTTTTTGTGTTTTAATTTTAAGGTGAAGAAGGTGTTTTTAAGTCAATTCTAAGGTAAAGATGTTTTTAACAAACTCTAAGATAAAGTTGTTTTTAGGCAATCCCAATATAATATAAATTATATACAGGAGCTTTTTTATTCTCGCAAGCCGCTATGGTTTTTGTAACAAAAGCTCTTCCCAAGTGATTTTCAGGAGAAAAAAAGAAAACTCTGCTCAAAAAAAATTCCAGGTTTTTTATCAACCATGTCTTTCCTATCTGTAAACTACAAAAGATAGTATGTGTTGAGGATATTGTATTAAGTTTAAATAAAGTTAGTAATAATAATAAAGTTGATAATAATAATAAAGTTAGTAATACAAATATTATTTTTATTTGAGTGTTGGATTTAATGATTTTGTAAATGCTAAACACTAATTAAAAAAAGTTTTGTATTTTTTAAAGTTAGTTATAAATAGGCTAAATTTTTACTCAAACTAATAACGAATTTAATCATAGAGCATTTAGGAACAAAAATAAATCGTTTTAGAAACATACTTCACATAATATATACATCTGAACCTATGTAATTCATATCCTCAAGTGGGTCTCAAGTAAGTAAGTGAGTCTTAAGTAAGTAAGTGAGTCTTAAGTAAGCAAGTAAGTGGGTCTTAAGTAAGTAAGTGAGTCTTAAGTAAGTAAGTGAGTGGGTCTTAAGTAACAAGAGTTTTTGAATAATAGGAGTTCAATCCTAAATATTAAACTCTGACCAAAGAATTTGTTTGATTTAAATAATCTTTATAATTATAAAAATTCAAATTAAAAGAATTTTAACTGATGAGACAAAAGGTTTAAATACAGAAGCTATTAAATGCTTAATAAAAATAAAAAAAATGCTTAATAAAAAGCTATTATATTATTAATAAAAAATAGGCTTTTCAGATTTCCAGCTTCAGTATTCTTGTTGAATTTAAAAAATGCAAAAACTTCTTTTTACTAAAGGATAAAGTAAAAATGTATGTAATGTAAACACAAAAATTACAAAAAAGGTTTAAAAAATCAATTGTTTAATAAACTATCATTAAAGTAATGATCAAAATAAATGATAAATATTGAAAAATCTAAATTTTTTTTTCTTTTTAATAGACTTTTTTTTAAATATTTTTTTATTCATTTTTGTTGTATGTAAAACCCATACAAGTTAAGAAAGTTAATGAAATTCGTAGTGTTACATTTATGCTCAATATCATAAAATACTGTTCACAAATTTTATTGGAAATTTTGTACTGTTTTTGAGTGATTGTTAAAGAATTTATTCTGAGAAAAAATTAATAAAGAGAACCGCTGCAATTTAAAAATTAAAATGTAAACTATATTTTCTGATTTTAATGGAAAAAAGTAAAGAAAAAAGTAAATCAAGTGGATAAAACAAAAAACAACAAAAGAATTTTTTTTTTTTTGGATACATAATAGAACGTAGTTGTTAGACATGGTAGAGATCCTTATTTCACATGTTTTTAAGTCCAAAACTAATTAGCCACATAAGGTACACATATAGCAAATGACAAAGTCCTTATCTAAACATCAGAATAATAAGCTACCATATGCACCATAATGTTATACATTAGTATGTTAAATCACTTTAAGCATCTACTGTATAATGTTATACACTTGACATTGATACAACCAATTTGTTAATATATCTATTATTGATATTGCTCACTTCAACTAAAGTTGTTTATGTTTTTAGGTTCTTGATACAAGTCAATTGAACATTGAAACTGTTTTATATAATGAAGATGCTGTACCTTTTAATGTATTACCTTGCATTGCACCATTTGGTGAACCTCTTGAAATCACGATTCCATCAACTAAAATGTAAGCTAATTTTTTTAAAATTACTTTATGTAGTGATGGAGTGCTTTGTAACTGAGTTTGATCTTTATCTTATCCCTGAATTTGTAGTCAACTCATTTTTTTTGCGAATTGGCCTTATGCATTTATTTACATATTATATACATCATTTATTTTTTCTAGTAATTTTCAGAAAATTATTTATAATCTTAAGAAGGGGAGGGAGAATCAAAATTTTAGTTAGTGCAGGGCTAAATTTAATAACCATAATTTTTATATAAACTATTCTTATTTGACACCATTATATTTACAAAGTTGAATGGTTTTATGATTTTGACTTTAAGGATTTTTTTTTTAAGTAACCTAGATTTTAAGAATAGATTACTTAATATCTAATATAAAAAATATTTATTCAGACTAATTAAAGGGAAAAAATAAATCTAAGATATCATTTTAGATATTTTAAAAATTGATTAAATTTATGATTGAAACAAAAGTTTACCCTTGAATCTGTTGCAAGAATAAATGAATAAAGAATATTTTACAAATAACCATTTATAAATGGTAATAATTCCAAAATTCAATTGTGGTCTCTAAATATTTGCAGCAAATAAAATTTCAATACAACCCCTATGTTGTGCATCTCCATGACAACATGGTTTATTGCAAAAAGAGCTCCTGCATACAGTAACATCAGAAAGAACTTTGATTTTATGAAAAAACTTTTATTCATCACCACAGAAGAACAGCATGTGTTAATTTATTGTCACAAAAATAAGTTAAAACAAGACAAATGTCTGGTTGTTAAGTAATACTTATTTTCATCAGATGAAGAAATACTTGTTCTTATATTTGATGTAAAAATATTTTGTTAAATGGTTGATGTGGGAAAAAGTTAAATGTAGGTTAAATGCAGGTAAAATATAGTTTAAATGAAGGTAAAATATAGTTTAAATGTAGGTAAAATATTATATGATCAATCTTATATGTCAATTATTAAACTGTAATTTATGTTTCTCTTGTCACAGTGGTTCGGAGTTTACAATAACAATAAAATACCACACGTCTTCAACTGCCAGTGCATTACAATGGTTAAAACCTGAACAAACTCTTGATAAAAAGTATCCTTATATGTTTACTCAATGCCAGGTGATTTTTTAATTGTGTAAAAAACAAAAGTTAAAAAAAACGATTTATATCAGAATTTTTTTATTATTAAAATTTTATATTAAATGTTTTAACTTGTTTATTTTTAAAAGTCACATTTTATTTACATTTATATGCTGTTTTTATTAATGATTTATTTACACAAAACCATTTACTGTGTTTTTATTTTTATTATTTTTTTTAATGTTAATTCACCTCTTTAAGGTGGAGAAGGCCACTACAGTTGAGGAGGCTACTTTAATTATGGTTACAACCCTCTTTCAACCCTATAACTCCAAAACAAGAACCTTAACAAACAAGGTTCCTGCACAGCAAACAATTTGAGCGCAGAACTACCAGGGATGTGTTGTCTATTAAACTCAGAACATCTTGCTTATGAAGCAAGCGCTCTACCACTACACCACTACCGCATAAGCCACAACACGGCTTTTTGTAGGAGAAAAGCTAGTGTCCAACTTTTCATAACATTTTTTAATTGTTAGTTGTATAATTAAAAACTAAAAAATGAGTATTTATCATTTTATCATCACAAAAGAGCCCTTTGAACACTCAATATATAGTTGTAGGGTTTGGACTATTATAATTGTAATGAAAGCAATAACAGAAAAAATAACTATTTTTATTGTATTAACTTCTTTAGAAACAATAACAATACTTGTGATTTACAATTATTTTAATACTGTAATACAATAACAATAAATATTGTATTGCAATTCATCTTCATAATACAATAACAATATCTGGAAAAAAAATGTATTGTAATGACCCTCTACAATAACAATAATTATTGTATTGTAATTCATCTTCATAATACAATAATATATATTGTTATTGTAATAAAAAAAATTATTGTAATGTCATAATACAATAACATATATTGTTATTGTAATAAAAAAAATTATTGTAATGTTTTAACAGTCCAGTCTCTGAGATATGTGACCTTGAAATAACAACTAATATATAATTATTGATTCTATTTCTATTTTATTTACTCAATATCACATTTCCTCGTTGCAAACTTTATATAGCTCTATAAAAGTGATCTGACCTGTACTTCTTTTACTGCTGGGGATAGACATGATCAATTACTACCATTTCTTCCACTTAGTTATTTCTTTTTACATTAGGCACCTATCCAATTATTTTAAAATTTACTCAAATAGCACTTACTCTAATATAACTTTGTCTTTTGTTTCCCTGAGGCTTTTATGGCTGTATGTAAAGTAACATAAAGTAACTGGACTTTTAGATCTAGTTATACCAGAATTATGTTACATAAATCAAGAACAAAATTTATTTGGTATTCTAAACTGCTTCATTTTTCAAAGATGACCCCCCTACAAAATTTATTGGTACGGTCTGAAAGGTGATGAGTAATCTAAAAATTTAGAAAATTTTTTGCAAAACAAGAGTAGTTTACATTTTTAGGCAATCTAATCGATAATTACCCAGGTCCATGGTTCCCTTATTCCATAACGCTCTAGTTTATTACTCATTAGCAGTTAATTATACTGAAAAAAAAAATTCATGCGCTTTATGTATTTAAATAATTAATTTAGACGTCATCATCCAGTGAAACATTTCAATATCAGTTTAGGCAAAATTATAAAAAAATCAAAAGTTTCACTTTACAAAGTAAATATATATTTAATTACAAGCATATAATAAATTATATATTTGTATGATTTTGAATGAATATTATTAATGTTAATTCTAAATAAATTATTATTTAAACAGTTATATTATTGAACTCAAAATAAATAAAATTTGTATATGTAAATGGTTGCTAGAAATCAGTGCCACGAGCACCCCTGAACTTAATATTTATTAAGTATGCGTAATAATATACTTATTTAGCTTTCCTGGCTTCACTTCACTTCTCAAAATAAATGAAATTTATATATAAATGACTGCTAAAAACAAGCATTACAGGCACCTCTGAATCTTCTAGTGCCCAAATGAATCTAAATACTTTAAAATACAATAGCTATTGGACTTTGAAATAGTAATACAATACACCACAATACTTATTGTAATTGTTTTTTACCCCAGCAATACAACACAATAGTTGTTGTAATTGTTTTACATCACTGCAATACAATACAATAGTTTTAGAACTTAAATATATTGTTAGAAAAAAATAATACAATAGTTATTGTAACTGTTTTTAATCACAGTAATACAATAACAATAAATGTTTTAATTGCATCTTTGGTATTACATTACAATATTATTGTATTGTAATGTGTTGTTGTATTTAATTTTTACAATTACAATTACAATAGTCCGAACCCTATATAGTTAGTCATAAAAGAAATATGGCTTTTTAAGATATACATAAAATTTATCAAGCATTTAACTTTGACTTTTATTGATTGTCATTAAATATTGACAATCAATAGAACTGGCCTATTGGACAGTGGATCCAAAATCAGACAGTGAATCAAAAAATTACAATGTTTTAGAACAAAAGAAAAATAAGAATCAACTGAGTTTGAGTTAAAATCATCTGTTTACCACTGGAAACATTTGTCAAAACCATTGCATCAATATAATATAATTTTTTTGAAAAGTGCAAATTTTTCAATGCCATCATTGGCCTAGCATACCCATAATTTCTAAATAACAAAATTACACAATTAATTTTCAATTTTAAACAATGAGGAGACACCTATAAGAGCTTGGTTGTTCTTTCATTATGGTTGTCAGCTTTAATTTGATCAGCACTTAAATCACTGCCTTTGTGGTATTTCAATAGATCCTTTAAGAGAATTTTCCTCTTTGACACAATTTGTTCCACTACCAAGGTTTAGTAGTCATTAGGAAAATTCTTTCTACCCATTTTCATCTACATCATCATCCTCCATTATTGTGTGCATCATCATTCTCATCCATCATGTATATCATCATCCCCACCCATTATCATGTACATCATCATTCTCATCTATTATCATGTATATCATCATCCTCATCAATTATCATGTATCATGCACATCATCCTCATCCTCCATCCTCCTCCTCCATCATCATTTATATCATCCCATTCATTATCATGTACATCATCGTTCTCATCTATCATCATGTATATCATCATTCTCATCCATTATCATGTATCATGCACATCATCATCATCCTCCATCCTCCTCCTCCTTCATCATTTATATCATCCCCATTCATTACCATGTACATCATCATTCTCATCTATCATCATGTATATCATCATTCTCATTCATTATCATGTATCATGCACATCATCATCATCCTCAATCATCCTCCTCCTACATCAGCATTTATATCATCATCCTCGTCCATTATCATGTATCATGTGCATCATCATCATCCTCCATCATTATGTACATCTTCATGTACTCAGATATTTACAGTTAATACAAACTTCTGTTTAACACAACAGTATTTGTCTAAAGTCTGCACTATAAAAAAACAACTTTCCATTCTTATTGAAAGTTATTGTTGCAAACATCTTTTAACAACCTATCAATTTCATTTAAGACAGTTTTGTGTATCATGAATGTTTCATGAAGCAAAAACAAACTAACTTAAAAAGCTAGTTTGTATTTCTGTGTATAAAGTTAGGAGTTACATTACGTATTTACCATTATTTACATACCATTCACACACCAACAAAAAAAAAAAAAAAAAGCAATAATAAAAGTTATAAAAATCTTCAATGATTAAAGATATTTATAACTTTTTTTTTTTTTTTTGGTGTTTTCTAGTACCACTGTATGGATGAGCCCTTGATTCAAAAATAGGTTTATCCATACTACCATTTTATTGCCTTTTGTTAAAAGTCTGTAATAGAAGTCACTCAGGGCTTTAATGATAGAAATGAAAGAAGAAGAAAAAAAGATATACTCATATAATATAGAAGTATCCTTAAATGTATTACATGTGCAAAACAAATTTGATATTAAGCAGAGAAGTATTTCATCATTTTTCCATAACAGAAGCACAATCAACTGTTGTGAAAACTATATCAGAGGAAACAGTTCCATTTTTTTAATTTCAGCTTATATATTGATTTTGTTACTAAATGATTATAAGATTTTCATATTTAATTCAATTTAGCATTAATAAATTTAAAGCTTTTGAAAACTTAAAATTAATAATTTAAAAAAGTAATATTTTAACTACATTCTCCATGTATACTTCAGATCAACAATCTTCAAAGTTATTGACATTAATCAAACTGTTCTTAAATTCAGATTTTTATTCTAACCACTTAACTTTTCAATTTATTTTTGTAATAATAGTTTTTCTTTATTTTACCATTGTCAAACTGTAGGCAGCAGGTCCTTAAGAAATTTGTTGGTGAAAGGACTGTTGATAAAATATTTAAATGAGCATTTTTAGTCATATCTTGTGTTTAAACTTGTTTGAATTATGATTTATTTTTGTATAATTAATTTTTAAGGCAATACATGCTCGAAGCTTGGTTCCATGTCAAGATTCTCCATGCCATAAGTTTACTTATTCCTCCAAGGTATGTGATTTTTACAATTCAAAAAAAAAACATCTTACAATTAAATTGACTTTTAATTACTTTTATAACTAAAAGTAGGATTTATGTTTCCTTTTCACAAATGTAGTTTGTATATTATATTTTATGTACTCTTCATAAGTTTTGTAACTTTATTTTACTTTTCCTAATTTTTATATCTCAAATAAGAAAAATTAAAATAGATTTAAGTAAAAAATTGAAATCCAATATTAAAATTTACATTACAATATAATAATTATATTTAAACGATTAAACTTTAAGAAAAGTAAAATGGACGTAATTGCAAACTATTAAATTGAAATCAAATTTTTTTTAACGCTTATTAAACTTATTTTATAAAACATTTTAGTTGTATTTTTGTAGTAATTTTTGGATAAGAAAATCAATTATTTTTTTTTAAAGTATATATCTTAATGAAATGTCCCTGATGATTTTTTTTTTGTTTTTTTGAAATAAATTTACCTCCTCAAAACTCTAGAGGGCCGCTAGAGAAGTTTTTTTTTTAATTTTATTTTTCAATCTTAAACTCCATAACATGAATATTATGAAGTAAATAAAAAGTATGGAGAACAAGGTTTCATAACATGAACAAGGTTCATGTTATGGAGTTTAAAAATAAAAAAAATACTGTAATCAGAAAATACTTGTTAACACAGTTTGAATACGCAAAAACAGGCTGATCATGGTACTTCCAAAAATGAAGGGTGAACTTAAACCTTAAACTTTTTGATTGTAAGTCAAGTGTTCTACCACTTGTATATTATCGTTGACTTTTATTACACCAAAAAAAAACTGTATTCAAGTCTTTTGAAAGTTTAAGTGTGCAAAATATATTTTTATTAAAATATATGACCTAAAATCTTTAAAATTATTTGTAAAAGGTAAAAAAAAAGACTGAAAAAATTTAAAAAGATGACTGGAAAAAGTTAAAAAACTTTAAGTAGACTTGGTTAATTTGATTGCTAGTCCAACACCCTTTTTAAAAACTACAAAATCATAAAAACAGTATAAAAAATTGCAAAAAATAAAAGGATTGTTTAAATTGGTATGAATAGTTGATTCAATAATTTATTACTATAAGCTTTCCTAATTTTTTACTTAATAATAGTCAAATTGTCAAAATTAGTTAAAAGCTGTTTGCCATCTGTCAAAATGTGTAAGTAATATTCATGTTAAACTAAGTAGAAAGGTTATCAACCAAAAGTTGATAACTTTTAAAGGTTGATAAAAAAGTAGAAAGGTTATCAAACAAAGTAGAAAGGTTATCAACACAAATTTTTAAAAAATTGGAAAATAAAATAAAAAAGCAAATAGTTTAAAAAAATTAAATTTTACATTTTAATATGAATATTTTATGAAGAAAAAAAATTTATAAAGAATTTCTAGATTTCTTATCAAAATTCTAAAATGGCCTCAAATACTAAAACTCTTTAGAATTAAATGCACTTAAATTCAAATAAAGTCTTTAGATTGTGTAAAAAAAAAAATGTATATTTTAAAGTTCTGACTAAAATAGAATGCAAGCTTTGACCAAAAATACAAAATGTTTTTCTTGATAGGCGTTTATTATTTTGTTTTAATTTAAAAAATTCCACCCATTCCATTTTTTAAAAAAGCATTTTCTTTATTATGAACTAACTTGTTTTGATACTTCGGGATCCCTTTAATCAGTTTTAATCAGTGACAGATTAGCTATAAGTACAAAGTATACTACTGGTATCTAGCAGACATGCCAGAAGTTTGTCTTATTGAAGATTTTTAGGCAGTTCTTAAATAAGAAATGAATATGGATGGCTGGGCTGTTGATAATGTTGACCAACTATGTTCCAGGATCAAGTATTTGAGAAAAAGTAATATTTAAAATTATTCCATAATTTACTTTTCTCTTAAATTGTAGGTTATAGTTCCAGCTGAGTTAGTTGCTTTGATGAGTGCTGTAAAAGGAGGTGAAGTCATATTAGAAAACAACATGAAAGAATGCAGTTTCCAACAAAAGGTTTGTAATTTAACAAAGTTGAACAACTACTGTTCTACCTTGTTTTTATTTTTAACAAAGTATAGCAACTACTATTCTATCTTATTTTTCTATACAGTATTATATGAAAATACTTTACACTTGTGATAATAGAATTAAATAGAATGAATAGAATAAGCCTTGTATAAACAGTTTACTTATTGTATTACAATATTTTTTGTTTCGTTTTATTTTTATGTTATTTGTGTATCTATTTGTGTATTTATAGATATACCAAATATGAATGTATAAAATATAGTACAAAATTAAACATGAAATTTTTTTGTTACTTTTTTTTTGTTGCTAAAACTTTATATATAAGTTTTACTTGTGATTTTTCTTATAATGATTAGTTAAAATATATTAACTATGTTGTACATTCTTTTAAAATCAAGATTAATATATATATATATATATACACACACACACACACATATATATATATATATATATATATATATATATATATATATATATATATATATATATATATATATATATACATACATTACCGATTTTAATGCAATGCAATATCTTTATGGATATGTTGAGTCATTTGGGAAAAAAAACTTATTATATTGCATAAAACTTTATTAAATTGCCTGAAACGAAAAAAAATCTAATTATATTGCATAAAATGTCTAGCAATTTTGTTTAACAAATTTCTTCATAATAGCTTTATTTTATATTTTTATATTGTTTTTTTGTTTTTTTGTTTTTCTTGGATTTCTTAGTTTTTCCTCCATATTTCCTTTTGTAATTATGCAAAAATAAAAGTGAATCCTGTCTTTTCTCTTCTTTTCAGGCAATATCAATTTTGTCTTTTATGAGTTTAATGGTTCTTTCCGACCAATCATTAACAACTGAAAGATTAAAAACTGCCTCCTGAAATTTTATTTAGAAATCGTTGCAAGTCCAATATTCTGGAGGGTTTTTCATCCATTGACAGTCACTTTTACTTTGGCCTATTATAAGGAACAATAGCCACTACTTTTCTGTGACCAAATGAACTAAGCTGGGAGGCTTCGATCCACTTAAGTCTAAAGAAACGAGGACCTCTATGTTAGGATATAACGGATATTCATCCATACTATGAAATTCATAGCTGTATAGTTTTTGAGTAATATCACCTCTTTCTTTACATTTTTCATCAGCTAGGGCTAGTACAATAAGGTAAGGGTCCAGAAACCATGTTTGGCGTTTGATAGATTCAATGACTGATTCTGCCCCAATCAAATTGTATTCTTTAAACCTATTCTTTTCTTTAAAAAAAATTATATTTTAGACTTTTAATAATTATCAAAACTTTTTATTTAAACTAGAAACCATTTATATATTATATATATATATATATATATATATATATATATATATATATATATATATATATATATATATATATATATATATATATATACTTCATACCTTTTAAGTTGGTACCTACCTGACACGGAGCAGCAGCGGATATTTCAGCTTTGAGAAACCAGGTAGTAAAGAAAACAGAGACAAAAGTTGCCACTTCAGTAATTTCATGCTTCAGCTGTTTTTCCAGACTAGGTGTAGCATCCATCATAAATTAGAGTTTTAGGTAGTAGATACCTATAAAAAAAAAGTCTTTTTTTTTTAATTTTTTAAAAAGACTAATATTTGATAATGTAAAACAAATTCCTTTTTTTTGCTATGAAGCTATAATTTTACTACACTTTGAACCTTTTCTTATCATGAACCTACAATTCCTTACCTTTTGCCATAAAGCGGGCATGGTGGACTGCTCCGAGAGTACTAAATTTGTACCTGTCCTCAGAAAGCACCATAAGTGTAAGCTCTGCCAGCTCAATGTAGTCCTTCCTTGTAGCCCCATCCTAAAAATGAAATCAAATCATAAGTATTTAGGTATAATACAATAAACCTATTTATATTTTAGTATAATAAAGAATAATAGAATTAAAAAAGAAAAATTTATAAAAAAATTACAACATAATAGTACATACTACATAGATAACAACAAATTTAGATAACTAGTTATTGGGCTACCTTTTTTAGAGACCCACTGGTGATAATATTTTTGCAGAACGTTATGCTTTTATGCTTTTGATGGTCAAGCCATGTTTCCTCTGGAATAGTCAGTCTTCTCAAAACCTTATTTATTCAAAATGTAAAAAAAAAAAATTCAAAGAACTCAAAATTGGAAAAAGAAAATTATTTGGAAAAAATAATATTTTACAAATGGTAGCTAATTTTGTAAAAACCTACCTGGTTGTCTGCGTCAAGATCATTCCATGCTGATTTTAAAGTTTTAAACAGCAGGTTATCTGGTCCAGAAGTAATGCTACTTTGATAATTTTTCCAGAAATGTGTTATGTGTAGCTCATCAACATGATGTCGGCATGCAATAGATAGAACTGGTCGTTGAAAGACTTCATTTACCAGTAAAGATACAGCTCCATTGTTTCCAGTGTTGATTCTGGTGGTATTAAATGTAACAGCTTGTATATTGTCTGTAAGGTTAAAGCTAATTAAGATATCTCTGATTGCATTTTTTTGATTTTCGCCAGTTCCAGAAGAAACTGGTGGAATTCCAGACAGGTGGGTTTCTGTGTTACTGTTTATTAATATTGCTAATTGGATTCCCCTGGATTCCCCTACCAAAAAATTGATCTTGTTCCAATTTTTTCCCATCAGTATATTCATGACATACTTTTCCATCAAAATGGAGTTGAACTAAAATGTTCTTATTAATTTTTCTAAAATTTCTCAAGTCGTCCTTGATCCTCTTTGATTATTCATGAACAACCTTATCTGCAGCGCGTAATGCTGTAGAGGTTGCATATTTAAATTCAGCTACATTTCCACCCGATTTAGCAATTATACTATTAACCATGGAAGTATGCTGCCTATGATTTATTCCTTCCCCAACAGTAGTATCAGCAGTTCTCTTGAGAATATCTTTTGGAAGCATATCAGTATTTTTTGATTTTTTTCTTTAACTCTGGATCTAGGTATGGAAAATCATCATTATCTTCATCTTTCTCCAATCCATTTGAGCTGAATTCACTCTCTGACAAGGTTTCATGCAAATTTGATCTCCTTTTAATTTTGGATAAACTCCTGTTTATAGAGCAAAGGTACCTTGTATCGATTCCACCTATTCTAGTTTTTCTATCTCCTAATTGGTCCAATAAAAATGCATTATCTTTAGTCTTGTCTTGATCCTTTCGTTTCCTATCAGCTTTAATGATTGCAACCAGAGTATCGAGCTCAGGTGCAATCCAAAAGATCCTTCTCATCTGAGTTAAAAACCTCCTCCTTTTTTCAATCTCTGATAAAGTTTGCCTTGCTTTGTTTTTTTTTTAACAGTTTCCAGGTTTGGATCAGCTTCTCTATCTTTATACTAAGAAATGTGATTTACAGGTTTGGTATATTTTAAAATGCACCTATTTCTGTTTATTCACTTATTTAGCAGTAGACATTAGTTATATTAATATTTTCCTCTAATAAGTAATAATATATAAATAAAAGAAAAACATATACAGTCTGGTACCTACCTAATTGTTTGTAATTGTAAAATCTGAAATCCACCCTTCATCCAAGGTGTAATTAACTTTGAAAGAGCGCAGCAAATATGTTTTTCATTATGGCAGCTGATTTCAAAGATTTTTTTGTCAATGGACAGTGGATAGTTCTACTTTCTTTTTGTTTTGGGTACTTCTCCTTCAAATGCAAGAAGTATTGCAAAACCTCTTGCTCTGTAGCAAACTTGTCTTTTGGTAAGGATGACCTGGATTCCCCTACCAAAAAATGTGTGTCAACTTTTTTCTTACTTTTTCCTGACATGAATAAATCTGTAGTATATAGCTTTAATAAGTATATGGAGTAAGTATATCATAAAAGTAATCAATATTTATTTTCTGTGTTTTTAAATCAAAATTAAATATCGTTTTTGTTAAAAAGTAATTTGCATAACATGTTTAAGCAAATACGCAACATTTTTAAATTAACGCGAAGCGCAACAATTGGTAAAAGTCTGCATATCTTTGCGTTTTTGTAGATTAATTTACACAAATTATTTCAATAAAATAAAATTACCATGCATTTTAATTTTTTTATTCTAACTTAGAAAAAACTCTGGAAAAAAAAAAGGGCTTAAAAAAAGGATAAAAAAGCCTAAAATATGACTTTTGAGGCACTTGAGCAACCCCTAAAAGTGGTCAAAATTTAAAATAAAAAAAATTCTACTAATAAAATATTGGTCGGCGCAGCAGATAACACTCCATGGTACTTTAAATTTTTTCATGACCTCAAAATGAAGCTGTCTAATATATATATATATATATATATATATATATATATATATATATATATATATATATATATATATATATATATATATATATATATATATATATATATATATATATATATATATATATATATATATATATATATATATATATATAATATATATATATATATATATATATATATATATATATATATATATATATATATATAGTGTTTAATGTTTGCAAGTATTAGTGTATTTTAGATAAGATGTATCTTATTACATGTATTTTAGTTTAATAGTTAACATAGTTTAACTATGTATTTTATATTTAAAGCACAGAAATATCAATCTTAGAAGTAATTCAACATTTATTAGAAGTTTTGGTTTAAAATATTTCAAACACTGTGACCACTTATTTAAGTGAGATATAATATGCATTGATATAACAAATTTAATGTATTGATTATAGTATTTATTTTGTATTAATACTTAACTTTTAATAAATTTTTATTGTACTGTAGATAATATCAAAGCAATAATTTACATTTTATTTCAGAGATTACAAAAGCTTAAGTGACCAGAGCTCATAATTTAATGCGCTGGGTTTGGTAAAACATGGGTTAATTTAAGGGATTATGTCAAGAAAGTTGACTTGATAAAGCAATTGTAACTTTAATTATTTAAATGTTTTTTTGTATGTTTTTTTTTCCATACATCAGCTAAATAAGTTTTTGTTATTGTGTTGTGATAGCTGAAAAGAAAGTTTCAAAAAGTTTGCCCTCAAAATCACCCATAACAACATCCATTGCTGTTTATCTTTTTCTCAAAGTCATAAACAACAAAGATTTTTGTGACTGTTTAACAGTAATTTATGTTTGGATGTTTTTATGTATCATCAAATAATAATTTTTATTTAAAGTCTTTTTGAAATATTGCATCTTTTAAGTCATTATTTCTATGATTGACTAATTGCTGAAGCATATCTAAAGGAAAAAAACAACAAAAAAATTAAAAAAAAATTTTTTTAAGTAGAAATATAAAAAGTGTATTCCATTTTTTACTTACTAACTTTTGTCAACAGTAAAACTTAAATAGTATATTTACTAATCAAAAAAATCAAGAATTTTTCAATTTATTCTTGATTTTCCTTTCTGGATAATTCACTTACTGAACAAAGTTTGATGTGTCAAAAGATATTAAATAATTGCTCATTTTTTAGAACTTGTGTATTTTTAAAATTCCACTTTAAATGTAAATTCTTAATAACAATTTTTACACCCATTTATATTTAAAAATAAAAATTGTACAGGAAAGTATGAAATAAAATTAAACAGTTTGAAAGGAGGTGCGCTACTAGGTTAGTGTCAAATCTGTAGGATCAGAGTTATGAATTTCTATGCAATTGTGTAATGCCTGGTTGGGAAAGTCTGTCTGATTCTGATATTGCTTCAAAGTTGGTCAATCAATTCATCAGAAACTATTAAAAATAGAACTGTTTTTATTGGTCTGATAAAGCTGAGTCTTGTCAAATGACTAATGCATAACGATTTTTAACTTTTTTTGTTAATTTACATTGATAATAATAACAATAATAATATAAAAAACAGAAAAAATTATTAAATTATTAAAATTGTTTAGACTGAAAATAAATGAAATAAAAATATAGAACATTTAATAGAATAAAATAATTAGATATAAAATGATAAATAAAAACAAAATAATTTTTTCTTTTTCATTATCGTTAAAATCATAAATTTTTGTTTTTAACCATTAACATTATTTTATCAATCATTAAAAATCATAAAGTATTCACATTGAAAGTTGATTAATGGTTGATCCATAAACATTGATTAATCGTTGATCCATAAATATTTTTTAGATATGTGTACCATCATATCTTCTAGCAATTGCAGTTGGACCATTAGAGTTTCGGTAAAATAACATTTAAACATTAGTATTTAAAAAATTAATAAAAACAAAAATAAATTTAAAAAACATATATATATATTTTGCTACTTTGTAATTTAATTCTTAATAAAATATTTAAATAAATGCTAGAGATGTTGGTCCAAGGTCAAAAGTTTGGTGTGAAGCATCAATGATTGATTTATGTGCTTTTGAATTTGGAAAGGTACTTATGAGTCATTAATTATATATTACCTAATTTTTGATAAAATTTATAATAATGTTTTTTAATAATTTTTTTCATAGGTTGAAGACATGTTAAAAGCTGGAGAGTCATTGATGGGACCTTATGTCTGGGAGCAATATGATATTCTCGTGCTCCCACCATCATTTCCTTATGGTGGAATGGAAAATCCATGTTTAACATTTGTCACACCTACTGTTGTTGTTAGTATATTTATGAAATTATAATTTTTGGTGATGTTAATGTTTGTTGTTGATGTCATTACACATGTTAAGGGTTTTTTATTAAACATAATTTAGTTTATGATCTTTATGTTTGTTTTGATAAGATGTCATGTTTTATGAGCCCTTAACATGACACATGTTAAGGGCTCATAAAACATCATTTAGTTTATGATGTTGATGTTTGTTGTTGATAAGATGTCATTGTGACACATGTTAAGGTTTTTTCATAAAACATCATTTAGTTTATGTTTGGTGTTGATAAGATGTCATCGTGACACATGTTAAGGTTTTTTCATAAAACATCATTTAGTTTATGTTTGGTGTTGATAAGATGTCATCGTGACACATGTTAAGGTTTTTTCATAAAACATCATTTAGTTTATGTTTGGTGTTGATAAGATGCCATCGTGACACATGTTAAGGTTTTTTCATAAAACATCATTTAGTTTATGTTTGGTGTTGATAAGATGTCATCGTGACACATGTTAAGGTTTTTTCATAAAACATCATTTAGTTTATGTTTGGTGTTGATAAGATGTATTAAAGTATTTATGGAGAGGACAAAACTCTGGATAAACATAAAAACAAAACATAAAATTAATTTTTTCATTTAAAAAACAAAATGAAATGATGAAAGCAATGAAAGCAAAAAAAAGTGTAAAGTATACACATATGATGAAAGCAATGAAAGCAAAAAAAAAGTGTAAAACATACACATAAAACATTGAGAATTCAATATGTTGAACAATTTAATTCAACTTTTAAATAATTTAATTCAAGTGTTGAACAAATTAATTCAAGTGTTGAACAATTCAAGAGCTGTTTAATTTGTCTACATTTTTAAATGATCAACTTTCATTAGTATTGAAATGGAAAAGTATTTAAAAGTTACTAAGTTTTAATGCTTGATTTATTATTAGGTTTTTACTAATCAATGTTTGATAAACAATAGTTGCTTAATTCAATTATAATGCATTAAAAAAATAGATAAAACTTTGTTTTTGAAAGGATAAAATAATTTTAATAAACCTAATGTAGAGGTTTATATATTTTATATATAATTTACTTCTTTAAAATGTGTTTTCATGTTTAGTCCAGTTAAAGCATGACTCATTTGTAACTTTTTTTATAGGTTGGTGATCGTTCTCTTACTTCAGTATGTATTATTTTATTTTATATATTAGAAATCTCTTAATGCTTGTTAAACTATTTTTATAAAAGTTCTTAAAACATGTAACATTTTTTGTTCTTATGTTATCAGACTAAAACATTTAACATTTTTTGTTCTTATGTTATCAGACTAAAACATGTAACATTTTTTGTTCTTATGTTATCAGACTAAAACATGTAACATTTTTTGTTCTTATGTTATTAGACTAAAACATGTAACATTTTTTGTTCTTATGTTATCAGACATGTGTTTTTATGCAGGTCATAGCGCATGAAATTACACACAGCTGGACTGGAAATCTTGTAACCAATAAGACATGGGAACATTTCTGGTACAAACAATCTTTTATGAACCAAATACCTATACTAACTTTGATTTTGATACAACTCAATTTTTTTTAAGGCTCAATGAAGGCTTTACTAGATTTCTAGAGGGTAAGATTATTGGACATCTTGATGGGAAGTTAACTCAAGATTTTATGGCTATTGGTGAGTGTTTAAATTTTGTAGATAAGATCTTGTGGTGGAAGTTTGTTAAAAAGTAAAGTATTCTTCTATTTTGTATAGATGGTTGGAGTCATTTGCATGATTCAGTAAGAACTTTAATGAATTTTTTTTAATGGTTTAACTATACACTGTCATTTTTTTTTTAAATTGTTTAACTATACACTGTCATTTTTTTTTTTTTTTTTTAATGGTTTAATTATACACTGTCATTTTTTTTTTCTAATGGTTTAACTATACACTGTCATTTATTTTCTAATGGTTTAACTATACACTGTCTTTTTTTTTTTCTAATGGTTTAACTATACACTGTCATTTATTTTCTAATGGTTTAACTATACACTGTCATTTTTTTTTTCTAATGGTTTAACTATACACTGTCATTTATTTTCTAATGGTTTAACTATACACCGTCATTTTTTTTTTCTAATGGTTTAACTATACACTGCCATTTATATTCTAATGGTTTAACTATACAAGGTCATTTTTAATCATAATACTTTTGATATTGTGTATCTTCATAAAAAATTTTTAGTTACTTACCATTTGTTTTTAAGTAAAAGATTTTAAAATCTTATATTTATTGTGTTTTGTATTTATATTTAATGTATAAAATATAAAATATAAGTACTTTAGTTTTTAATTTATTTATGCTATATTTCATTTTAATATATTAAAAATTTGTTTAATATTATGTATATTTAAAATGGATATATGTATATATATATATATATATATATATATATATATATATATATATATATATATATATATATATATATATATATATATATATATATATATATATATATATATATATATATACATACATACATACATACATACATATATATATATATATATATATATATATATATATATATATATATATATATATATATATATATATATATATATATATATATATATATATATAAATGTTGACATTTTAATGAAAATAAAACTTCTTTTTATAGATGGATTCCTATTTGTTAAAAATATGTTTATTTTTATGATATTATGTTGATTTTAGGTGCCCCAAGAAGTCCTTACGGTCTTATCACAGAGCACCGCGGAATATATATATATTTTTACAAGGGAATATTGATACCCTCGTTATCAAGTATATTAAAAAACTGTTATTGTGTTAAATTAACATAAAACATTATTTTTATTAAACTAAAATTAAAAATAAACTGGAAAAATATACTGGAAAGAGAAATAAGAATTAACCAAAAAAATTGCAGAGCTAAATTAAAAAAAAAAAAAATCCTAATGAATAATAAAATGGATAAAAAATAAACCATAAAAAATATAATCATGAAATTAATTATGTTTTTATTTAATTGTTATAACGGTTTTTTAATATACTTGATAACAAGGATATCAATATTCCCTTGAAATATCATAAAAGTAAATATATATTTTAGCAAATGGAAATAAATCCATTAAAAGAAGTTTGAATAAAAATTTTTTAACTTTTAACTAAAAAATGCAAACTGGGCATTTCCAAAAAATTACGCATGGAAACTTGTATATGTTTTTACTTTTATTTTCATAAAAATAAAACTAGCGATCTCCAATTTACTGCCATTTAATTCTAATCAATATAAATATTTTGTAAACAAAAAATAGTAAGCATTAGTAATGTTAACAAAGAATAAATAAAGTTTAAAATGGAATCACGCACGGAAACGAAAAACTTCTATATTAGTTACTAGATAAATAAATTTTAATTCCTCGGAAAATATAAGTTTCACTGGTATACTTTTTTTTTAAAATAATATTTTAAACATTAGTAAAGATTTCCAGAAAGTTACAAGATTGCACTATGAATCATAGAGTCACAGCAATCGTTTAAATGCAGTTTATGAATGATCACACACAGAAGTCACGCACGGATGTTGTGAATTTGTCAATTTTATGTGGTTATTTTTATGAAAATAAATTGCTTGTGAGTATTTCAAATGAAATATTATACTTCTGCAACTCATATTTAATATATTTTTGATGAGTAATGGCAGTCATCAATTATTTCTAGCTAGAGTATGGCGTTTTGAAAATTATTGTATATTTTTCAAAATGTAGCGATATTATTACTCAAAAAAATAAAATTGTAAAAATGTGTATATTCAGATAGCCTAAAATATGATAAAAATATTTTTGTTATAATTGTTCTTTAAGAAAATCAAAATAGTATGCATATTGCATAAAATCCCAGCTTTTAATTGCTAAAACAAAAAAAAAATAAAAAATCGCGCACAGAAATGGAAATGCCCAACTAAAATTAAAAATAAACAAAATGTATACTGGAAAAAAATTGTTATAGCTAACAAAGAAAATACAAAACTAAACAAAAAAAGTAAAAATTTTAACGAATGATAGAATTAATAAAAAATAAACCATAAAAAATACAATCATAGAATTACTTTTTAATTATGTTTTTATTTTAATTTAAAAGTGTTTCACTACAAAGAATTTATAAAAAATTTAAGTTTTATAGTTATTTAATCCAAGCTAATTTCTTTAATTACTTCGAGACTTAATTATTTAAAATTTTGAAACTTTAATATTTTCTAATGTCTACAATGCAAATAAAATACATATATAAAAAAAAGTTATTTGTTAGTAGGATTTCAACTATCATATAATAATGATATAATAGTCAAGCCTCAATAATATGGTACGAAAAATTATTAGCTTAAAACTATTTAGTAACTTTTAAGTTAAACTAATTATATTTAAACTGTTAATTAAGACATTTAAAATTAAAAAATATATTAGTTTTTTTTTTTTAGTTTCTCTGGTTTATCCTTTATTTTATCATTTGTTAAGTTTTTTTTTTTTTTTCGTTTTTTTTTTTTGTATATGTATATAGATTGAAGTTTTTGGTAAAGATAATAAACTTACTGCATTACAACCTGATCTAAATGGAGTAGATCCTGACGATTCATTTTCTAGTGTTCCATATGAGAAAGGATATGCTTTCCTTTATTATATAGAGCATCTGGTTGGAGGTCCTGGTTAGTTATTGATTTTTTAATAGTATTTCTTGTGTTCTATGTAAACCTTTTATTTTTTTATATAACCTTTTATTTAGATGTGTTTAATGTTTTTCTTCGCCAATATATTGAAAAGTTTAAGTACAAAAGTATTGTTACAAAAGATTTCAAAGAATTTTTATGTGCATATTTTATGGAAAAGGTTGTTTTTCATATAAAATCTAGAACACACTATCTACTCTGTTAATTTATTATAATTATCTTTGTTATAATATTATAGTATCTGTTGTAAAAATATCACAACATCTCCGTAAGTTAATTTTAAATAGTTATTTAGGTAAATTTATCTTCTGAAATTGATTGGGATGCCTGGCTCTACTCCCCTGGTATGCCACCAGTTCAAGTTATTGACATGTAGTTAAAATTTTCTATTTATTTATTTCTGTTTATTTTTAAGAAGCAATAAAGAAAATATATTATGTTATTCATCTAACAAAGTTAAAGGGGTCACTGGCTTGTTGGTGAATACCAAAGAATGATGAATAAAACAATTGCTGCCCCATACCAAACCCTCAGTCGATGTAGCAGCACCCCACTGCAAGTCAGGCTATTTGTCAGTCGATGTATGTACTGAAGCCTCCAGCAGCAAGCTATTTCAGTATGACGTCAGATTGCTTACCTTAGTACGCAATACTATTTGTATATATAATATTATTCACCTCAACAAGACCAAAGGGGCTTCTTTTTTTTAACTTTAACTCTTAACTTTTAAACTCAGCAAAAAAAGCAAACTTTGACAAACAAGACTACTTTGCAGAGAAAAAGTTGTGTGCAGTACTACCAGGGGCTGGGTGGGAAATAGCAATTGAACTCATAAGATATTTACAAAACAGTCATCATAAAATGTTCCTACATAATTAAATTCTACATATATATTAATTTGTGTACATACATACATTTTCTTTCACCTTCTCATTCTACTTTTATAAAAGAGCTTGATCAATTGAAATAAAATTGATAACCTAATGAATTTGCTTTTATATAATATTAGATAATGAAGTAGTTTTATTTACACATATAGTGGCTGTATTTTTCTTTTTTTCAATGTATTTTATACATTAGGTATGATCATACTTTGGCTACTTATTCTAAGAAGTTAGCTGATAAATGGATTATGGTATGGTTTGTTATTTTAATCATAATGTATTTAACAGTATTTTTTAGATTTTATGATTTTTTAATATAAATGCTTTTTAATATATGCAAATAAATATTTATTGCATTTATATAAATTCCATTTAAACCTCAGAAATTGTTTTTTTTTACTTGTGAATAGTTAATAAGCAAGAAATAACCATAGTAACCATAAAACGTTACCATAAGATTAAAAGAGGTGAAAGTATATACAAATCTGGAAAACACAACAAGAGTAGAGACTTCTAAAGTGCTGATGTTTATGGAAAAAAATTAATATATATAAATTTTAGAGCGCAAAGGAACAATTACTTTAATATGAGATTAATAGCATTTTAAACAAGGGCAAATGAGAGGTTAATAATGGTAGAGAATTGAATTAGGAGTAAGAAACAGACAAGTATTATAAAAAAAAATCTTAATGTTAAAAAAATAATCATATTATTAAATAATAATCACAAAAGAAAGATTATATTTATAATTGACTGCTTATTCTAAATAAAGTCCCTTTGGTGGCAAGTTTAAATACTTTAGTGGATAATGATGTTTGAAGTTTGTCTGTTTGGTTTTGAAGTTTGTTTGGAAGATTATTGTTCTCGATTTTATAATATAAAGATTATTGGAAATGAAAAAGAATTATCAAGGCTGTAATTTGACATTAAATAATAATTTATTATTTTATTGAATAAATTATTTAAATAATAATTTATTATTTATTATACAAAAAAATATTTCTGATACACAATATGGTTTATCACCATACTCTTTTTATGGTGATACACCATAAAGAGAGCTTATAAAGAAGACCAGGATGCAAGGCATGCTGAAAGCCTTTGACATACCAAGAGCACTAACTCTTGCCTCATGGTTACTACTTAATTCACAGTAAAATTGTTTAGCTTTACTGTTAACATGTCAGCAGTAGAATGAGAAAATAAATAACTATATTGATTGTAAGAAAATAAGTTACTGGATTTAAAAGGTAAGGTTTCAAGTGTTTATTAAAGACTCAAAGATCTTGCTAATGATGATAGTTAGAAGAATCTGAATTGACTTAACATTTTGAGAGTACAGTGAAGAGTTTTGGAGAACACTCTTATTAACTGCAGAGAGTCAAGACCACAAACTTTAGTCTAAGCAATAGAACAGTAGTAAATTAATAGAAGTCTAAGAAACGAAAAGAAAGATTTATTCATAGAAGCAAGAATAATTAAAATGCCTAAAATGCGCTACCCTGTTTAAAATAAACCTAAAAAAAAAATAATGATTTCAGGAAGAGTGTGCTCATTAAAATCAAGAGAGATATTTATTAGAATCAAGAGAGATATTTATTAGAATCAAGAGAGATATTTATTAGAATCAAGAGAGATATTTATTAGAATTAGAGAAAACTTTTTTTTCAAACAATCCAGTCTAATCTTTGTGAGCGACTGAGAAATAAAAAATTTAACCTATTACAAAGGAAAAATCACACTCAATCTGACGATCACAAAGGAAAAATCGCACTAAACCTGAAAATACTATGAAGTACACAGATAAGAGCTTGGTCTAGACCAATAAATGAAAAACTAGGAGAAACAAAAAGCAAGTATTGATCAGAGACATGACACAAATTGTATGGTAAGTGATTCGGATTATCTTAAAAGTGTGTTGAAAACTTAACTGCCTGAATGAGAGATTTTAAAACATTAAATTTTTGACACAGTGCTTTAAAGGTTACTAGAACTAGAACCATGCAGCATAATAAAAATTGAAGTTACTAATTATATGGCATAGAACCTTTATCTGTTTTATCAGAAACAAATTGTAGGCTATTTTACAGAAGATGTTAAGCTATAAAGAAAAAAGGACATTGCGAAGACCACATATATCATAGAAAAATGTTTTTAACAAATGGGTGACAGCTTTTAAAGTTTAATACTTTTGACTACTATAGACAATATTGATTTTTAGTATTAAAGTTATTAAAAACCTGACATTATATTTGACAAACCTGACATTATATTTGATAAACCTGACATTATATTTGACAAACCTGACTCAATATTTTTTGGCACACCTACAATTTATGCAATTTCTTTTTGTTAATCTCCATAAATAAGCCATTTATCTAAACAAAAAATTTTAAAATAATTTCGAACTATGTCAGAAAAACCTACAAAGACACTTTCAATGCGGATTACGGCGCTGTTGATGCTCTGATATTTTATAGAATCACCTTCTTCTAAAGCTTAAGTAGATTTTGGGAAACTGACCATTAAACTGAGTTTTAAAGTTGTTGTTGTTAAAAGATGACAGAAAAAGTAACAGCATCTCATTATCTAGATGCAAGCAAAAACCAATGAATTGAGTCAAGAAGTTTCAGTGTTCATCATCCAAGGCTGGAAACAATTTACACAAATATAAGCCAGCCTGTTAGATGAAACCCCTTTATGTGTAAGGGTGTGTCAACAGAAAATATCTGTTTACCTATATGATTTCTTTTATAAATGTTATTCACTTTAAATTTTTTGTATTTTTTAAACTTAATAAACCATTTTTTATGATTTTTTTAACTTTTATAAACTAGATTTCTGTCATTTTCTTAAGGTTTCATGTAATGGAGACTTCTCGTGTTTCTCTGAAGAAGATTTTAAGTCATTTACCGTTCTTCAGAAAATTGATTTTCTCACCAAATTATACCAAACAGTTTGTTAAAGCTATTTATTATTTTTAAATATTTAAAATTTGACTATAATTAAAAGTAGTTCCATAAATATTGCGTCTTATTTTCCTCTAAATTGTATTTTTTGTCATCCGAAAATGGTTCGACATATTTTTAAAAATTTTTTGCTGTAATATATATATATATATATATATATATACAACTTGTTGCCCAACTTTTGTTATTTCAGTCATCATTGTCTTTACCTGCTGTTATAGCTTTATCAAATATTTATAAGCTTTCATCCTATAAAAATACTGAAATAAAGTTTGCGTATGTATAGTTTTCTTTTTTTTAATAAATTATAAAAAAATAATAATAATATAAAGTTTTAAAATTGTTGTGCTTTTATTTTTTTTTAGTTTTCTGCGTTTATGTGTTCGTTCAAAATGGAGTGAACGTTATGATGATGTTGTTAATTTTCTTGTCCAACAAGGTCGAATGAAATTTGTCAGACCTCTTTACAGGTTATTTGGTTCTATCTTTTTACTTAGAGTTATCTCAATTTCTTTACAGGTTTTTGCTTGGTTATCATTATATATATAAATATACACTAATTTTGTATATCATTATATATATATATATATATATATAAAGCAAAAAAATTTTTCATTCAACACTGTGTTTCATCAATAAAGACTCATCAGAAATAAATAATCAAATTAATAAAACTTTAATTTCTAAATGCAGGCACGAAAATAAGTTTCTCCTAAAAAACTATAAAAATAAGTGAGCTCAAATAATAACTACATTAAATCCCCACTTTAAAAAAAAAAAAAAAAAGCAGAAGTAATCAATACTAAAGAATTCTTTTTATAATAGTGTCAGCATATCCCGTTTGTTGAGTTACAAAAAAGCGAGTCAACACCGTTGCTTGCGTTGAATTGGCGCATTTTTTTGTAAAAGTTTTAACACTATTTAATAGACAAATAAATTCATTCAAAATTAAGGAGATGTAAGCTTTAATGCAGTTCAAATAAAAGTAAAACTGAAAACTTGATATATGTTTTAACATATCATAATTTGAAGTTTACATAAGTTAAATATGGTAACGGCGTTTCTTTCTCGTCATTACCTTGGTTGCAATGGCTGCCAAGAGTTCCTAAGGTTATTAATTTTAGTATATTTACTTAATAAGGTTATTAATTTTAGTATATTTACTTTTAGAGAAATGTTTAAGAATGACGAAGCAAAAGATTTAGCCATCAAAACGTTTCAAAAACATCGACACGTTTACCATTCCATAACTTCTACCATGATTAGTAAAGATCTTCACCTTGGCTCATAACTCTAAAGCTGTCTTTGTGTTGCTTAATTTAATAGGAAATAATAAGAGATTATATATATATATATATATATATATATATATATATATATATATATATATATATATATATATATATATATATATATATATATATATATATATATATATATATATATATATATATATATATATATATATATATATATATATATATATATATATATATATATATATATATATATATATATATATATATATATATATATATATATATATATATATATATATATATAGGTAGTTTTAATTAAAATTAGTTGTAATGTAATAAAAATTTAGCCATAAAAATCCACAATGCAATTCGAGCTTTTTATCAGATTGATCAGATTATTAACATATTTTGTGTAAATAATTGAAAACTTATAAATTGAATTTTCCAATTATAAATAAATGTTATCCCCGAGTTTCTATTAAACAAAATGTAAACACTTTTCTACCTTACAGTGGATTAAAATTGTTTCTAGCTAAATTGTTTCAAAGCCTCCCAAAGTATTTTTTTATATTAAAATTTACAATCCACAAAAGTTTTTAGTTTCTGCAAATTTATTCTGTTTTTAAAAAATTTCGATTTTTATATAATTTCACAAATGTTTCATTTTTAAAAAATTCCATAAAATATTTTCAAATCTGGTGACGAGACCAATTTCTCAAACTACATTTTTCAGTTTTACCCTGCTTTTCAAAAGTTATTGAACCAATTATGTATAACAAATTTATATAAAAACTGTGTTATACTGTTACCATTTTGGTTTTAAAAAAAAAACAGCTAACTCATCTATTTTAATCTCACAAAGATATTAAAATTTTTTTTTTAATATTTAACAAAGAACTAGATAAAATAATTAACAAAGAACTGGATAAAATAACTTAATAAAATCATGATTAAAGTAAAACACCCAGTGTTCGTCATGCAACTTAAAAAAAAATCTTGCTTTTAATTTTAAATTTACTAAAACTTTCGCTAGTTATACACGGCGATTACACACGCTAGTTATACACGACAAATTTTTGTTTAAAAATCTCCCGATTTCCAGTTTGCGCGTATTTTCACAAATACAGTCATAGTAAGTGGAAATCATGTAAAAATAACATTAAAATTTTGGTAGACCAATCAACATCAAAAGTTTTTGCGTACAGCATGCCAATACCTAAGTACATGCCAATACCTAAGTACCAAGTACAGCATGCCAATACCTAAAAAACAAAAATATAAAATTACTACTGTCCTAATAATTTACTTTATCCATATCTAAAACAAAAAACGTCTGAAAAACTGCAACAAACAATTAGAAATCAGCAAGAAAAGTTTGAATTTGAGTTTTGCGACACAGATGAACTATTTAGTAATGAAAGTTTCACAACAAACAGCAATACTAAACTCAATATAATGTAACGACAGAATAAAGATCAAGAACGTTTACAAGGACAAAGGAATTATGAAAGTGTTTCCAACATAGCGTTAGCAAGCATTCGGTATGGTACAGGCTTACGGAAAACAGCTGCAATTGCAACGGCAGCTTGGATGGACGCAGGAATAGGAAGATGATACCAAGTTGGTTATTGACCAGAGCAAAGTCAAGAGAGCTCAAGAAAAAATTATGCAGTCTCTTTCTAGAGAGTTTGATATTCTATGCAGGTCTACCATTATTTGTTGTATTTTTTTTTGATGGCAGAATTGATAATACAAAAGTTCAATTAGTAGTCGAAGGTTCGTCTAAATGTTATCCTGCTACAATCAAAGAGGAACATTATACAGTATGTCAAGAGCCCGGTGGTAGGTATCTTTTCCATTTCACACCTGAAAAAGTTCAAAAACATATGAAACACGCTAAAGTAATTGCTTAGAATATATACGAATTTTTTAAAAGTAATGGTACCAATAAAAGCTTAACAGCAATCGGTTGTGATTCTCCTAAAGTTAACACAGGGTGGTCAGGTGGAGCAATACATTGGCTGGAAGTAAAGTTAGTAAAAAAGCTAAACTGGCCGGCTTGCGCACTCCATACTAATGAACTTCCTCTGCGTCATCTGATAACAACTCTGGATTGAGAGACTCTGAGCAGCATCAAATGTAGAAGCAGCATTGGAAAATTATTAAATGGCACAAATGCTCTGGAAATTAATCCATCCTTTGAAAAAATTGATTTCGGAAATCCGCTTATTACTCTAAAGGATGAAGTAATCAAAAACTTATCCTCCGATCAGTTTTATGGGAATAAAACTCTGCTATTAGAAGTGGAAGTATACGCGCAGTATGTAAGTAGAAAATAGTCTCTGCTATTAGAAGTGGAAGTATACGCGCAGACTTGGCTTTACTTAAAATTGGGCCAGTTAATTATTCAGGATGGTTGACAACAGCCTATTGGCTGTTGTCAACCATCCTAAATAATTAACTTTGACTTTGCAAAGTTTGGGTCTCAAAACATGAGTTGGAAGGCGAAAATTTAAAAAACCTTAAATTAATAATTGAGTTCATTGTTGGAGTTTACATGCCTATGTGGTTTAAAATTCTCACCGGACCGGCTGAAATGAGCGGAATGGGTGAAATACCGGAATGGCTGAAATTAAAACTCTCATCGGAATAGCTGAAATTAGCGATTTTAAGCATCAAGTTCTTAATTTTTCAAAAATGAAAACTAGATATAATAGATATAAATGCGGAAAAATACCCTAAATATTCTCATGATTTAAATAATGTTTTTTTATCCTAGTGAAATAGAAGGATATCTTTTTAATTCCAATAACAGCAAACAAATTAAATAAATATCAGAAGCATAAGTCACAACTTTGAAAAGCTCCTTTACTTATTAGAAGAAACTAAAAATGTATTTAATATTATTTGTTTAACTGAAACTGGGATAAACACAAGCGATTTAAGTAATAACGTAAATTTTTATCTTCCCCAATTTGAGTTAATATCTCAAGAGAGACATACAAATAAACGCGGTGGCAGAGTTCTTATTTACGTGAAGAAAACCATTGCGCATTACGTTAGGAATGATTTAAGCGTTTCTGACGGCGATAAAGAAATTTTAACTATTGAAATCTTAAACAATGAATCTAAAAATGTATTACTAAGTTGCTGTTATCGACCACCTGACGGTCTGAGTGAGAATCTGAGCACGTTTTTTGAGCAAAATGTTATCAAAATAGACATTAACGAAAAAAAAAAAAATTATTATTGGTGATCTAAACATGAATTTTTTAAACTACGAGAATGACTGTAAAATAAAAAAAATTTATGATTTAATATTTGAAATAGGAGCAATTCCCCTAATTAATCGTCCAACTAGAGTATCAGCAAACTCAGCAACTCTCATCGATAACATTATTACAACTGATGTCTTCAATAATAATACACAAAAAGGTATATTGAAAGCAGATATAACTGATCATTTCCTAATATGTCTATCATTCAACTCATATTCTAAAATTAAAACCAAAATTAATAATAAAATGAGTAAACGCATATAAACAATATTGAACAGTTTAAAAAACAATTATCACTGCTTCGTTGGAAGCATATAATTTTTAATGACGACGCAATTAAATTTATGAAAATTTTTTTGAAACATTTTATTCTGTCTATGATGCCAATTTTTCCATCTGTGAAAAAACTAAGGGTTTTAAAAAATCATCTAAGATAAAACAAAAGTTATATATGAATTACTTAAAAACAAAAACACCTTTGAACGAAAAATTATGCAAAGATTACAAATATCTATTTGAAAAAACTCGTAGAAACTTAAAAAAGAAATACTACTCAAAATTAATTGAAAATGTTAAGAACGTACTTAGAAAATATTAGGAGAAATTCGTGGAAAACAAAAAACTTGCTTAGGTTCCCTACCGCAGGTGATTAGAGTGGATCACAGAGATGTTTTTGAATCTAGATTAATAGCTCATGAGTTTAACAAATTCTTTATTGATATCGGTTCCAAACTAGAAAATAAAATTCCTAATATCCAAGTTGTGTTTGATAACTTTTTAACACCGATGGATGATTGCATTTGCTCCAATAATTTATCTTCTGAGCTATCATTTGAGGAATTTAAAGTGTCGTTTAAATCTATTTTAAAAAAAAACAAATCCCCTGGAGCTGATAAAATAAATGGAAACATATATTTTATCAGCTTCTTAGAATGCTTTGAACAATTAAAAAGATATTCTCTATAAAGTTTTCAGAGCACCAACACAACAAGGAGTTTTTCCTGATAAATTAAAAATAGCTAAATAATCCCAATATACAAAGAAGGAGACAGAACTAATGTATGTCACTACCGACCTAATTCTATTTTATCAACATTTTCAAAAATTATTTACAATAGATTATATACTTATTTTAAGGAGAAGAATTTTTTTTATAAAAATCAGTTTGGTTTTAAAAAAAATAGTTCTACTGAGCATTCAATCATTCAATTCGTCCGTGAAATCTCTAACTCTTTCAAAAATTCACAATTCACTATTTTTTGGATATCAAAAGCATTTGATACAGTAAATCATAGCATTTTGATTCACAAACTTGAATATTATGGAGTGGGTGGTGTAATATTGAAATGGTTTAAAAGTTATTTAACAAACCAAAAACAATTTGTTTCGTTTAACGATCCTTATCAAAATAATGTTTTAGATATTTCATGTGGTGTTCCGCAAGGATCAATTTTGGGGCCGCTTCTTTTTTTTAATATACATTAATGATTTGCATAAAACTTCTAATCTTTTAAGTATTATGTTTGCGGATGATACTAATTTATTTTTATCTGATAACAATATTAATAAACTCTTCACTACTATGAATGAAGAACTCAAAATAATTTCTAGCTGGTTCAAATGCAATAAACTTACCCTAAATATTAAAAAAACAAAATGGATTCTTTTTCATTCGATAACTAAAAAACGTTAAACGTTACCAAATTGAAATAAAAAGAGATTGTACCACAAAATTTTTAAGCGTATTCCTTGATGAGAACATCACATGGAAGCAACATATTGATTATGTTTATACTAAAGT